AGCACATATCTATAGCATATTAGTTGAAATGAATTGGCTAAACAAGATCAAAACCAAACTCAATCTATATAATAAAACTATACTATTTGATTAGAACAATCAAAAAAAACTATCAAAATCAAATTTATCTATGAACAAAATTATGATAGTCCAGATAAATTTTCTAAAGACTCTAATAATGAATCAAGTTCTGATGAAAATGAATTTGAAGAACAAAACTTAAAGAGTTATAACTTTCTAATATTTAACTATAAAGATAATTAAATAATAGTATAATCACACTAATGATAAGTTCAATTTGAAAGTGTAGAACCAAAACCTGAAAAAGTATAAATACTAGTCAATACTCATAAAAGAAATATTAGTTATGTTAGTAGTAAAGACATGCCAATAAGTATTATTAGAAGTGCAAAAATAATTAATAACATACAAGTATATCAAGAAGAAATTAAAGTTCAATAGAGAAAGTTCATCTGAAATGATATTCAACAACTTGATAAAAACTTTTAACAAGAATATAAATAGAATAGTTAATGATTTTTTGATTGAAAAGAACCAAATACAAAATGCTAGTGCTATAACTAATTATATACTCCAGAATAATAATGCTATTATTACTATTTTTGTTGGTTTTATTATTTTTCAAGTATAGTTCACGTGTTCTTTACATATTTCAATTAAGTAAGAGAGTTATTAAAAATATTTATAAGTTAAAGATAATTAGAATTGGAAGAGACTAATTTAATAAAAATAAATAATAATGTATTTATTTTGCTGAACTATTAGATAAGTTCAGAATCTTCTTTTAATTTAGTTATTAAGTAATTTTATTTAATAATTAATTTTTTAAAATTATTTTCTTCTTTTATTATAAATCTAAATAATATTAATTAACTTTATAGAATAGTGATGAGAGATTAATTATATTATTATAAATGACATTATTTGTTACAAACAAGAGATCTTTTAAATATAAAAAAATACAAATAAGAAAGAAAAAGAGATAATTAATACTTGACTAAAAAAATCTTTAACTTAAAACTTATAATATGACTTACTTCTAAGAATATTTTGTTAAAAAAAAATTAAAGTGAATAAGAAGATTCAAAAGTAAATAATTATAAAAGTGTAAAAAAATTATTTTTCTAAGCTAAGATACTGTTACAGTAGTAATATAAAAATCACAAATTCAAAAATAATTAAAAAATTCTAAAAATATTCATATAATAATATAATCTTCTAGTATTATTTCACTTTTTATTATTTCATTTTTTATCATTTCACTTTTTACTATTTCACTTTTTATTCTTTTACTTTTTCAATTTTTTACTTTTTATTTTTTACTTTTATATATATTATTTTACTTTTCATTTTTTCACTTTTATTATTTCACTTTTACTTTTTATTTCACTTTTTTATTATTTCACTTTTCATTTTTTTACTTATATTATTTCACTTTTTTGATATTTTACTTTTATAATTAATTATTTCACTTTTATATATTTTTATAATTTTTTAGCAATTTCAAAAATGTATAAATAAAAATATTGTCTGAATCTTAACTTGACATGTTGTAACTGAAAATAAAAATCCCTCTTAACAAAAATCTTCTTATTGAATCTATTAAATCACTGATAACTTTATATCATATTGTGCTGAGCAAATTGTTATTATTGATTTTGGATTTTAGATTATATTGTGCTGAACAAATTATTATTATTGAATTATTGAGCTTTATATTGTATTATGCTGAACAAATTACTGTATTGAAATTATTAAAATTGAATTATAAGTATTTTACTTTTTGTTATTTGAATTTTTAATTATTAATGAATATTCCTCACTCATAAGAAAAACAAAGTAAAAGAATCTTTATTATTGTTGTTACTAATTATATTATCTTAGTTCTAGAAAGTTTTATGCAAGTATAGAATTACTCTTTCAAATCCTTTTTATTATTTCTTTATACTCTCTTTTCCTTTCAATCTTTATTCTTTCATAACTCTTCCATATTATTATATCTTTTTCAAGTAAATACAATTCCATAGAAATTGATATAGATCTTAGATATCTCTTTTTTCTCTTAATATTTTCTTTATCAATTTATATTCTCTCCCAATCCAGGTTCAAGTTTATAAGCTAATTTAATAATTAGTAAACAAACTTATAACAATATATATACATTAAAAATAGAAATTTTTTCTAATAACAATAAAGTTATAATATCAAATTTAATAGAAAATATAACAAGTAATGATATTATTTCAAATATGAATATAAAAATTAATAATAATAATATTATAATATTATCTAATTTAAAAAATCAAATAACTTCTATATTCAATATAAATAATTCAAAATTAATATTATATAATAATTATAGTTATCAATTCATAATCCCAAAAATCAAACTTCAAAAATCAAGTATCACCTGAACAAATATTATCTGATCAAATTAAAAAAATAAACTAAAAAATAGTTATATTAATCAAATACTATAAAGATTAGATAAATGAACAAGTTTTATCTTATGAAAGTACTAAAAAAAATATCAAAATAATTATATAACTTTATTAACATATTCCAGATTATATCAAAACTAAATTAATTTTTTATAACAAACTCAAATATATTTGTATTGATTTTATATTACTCAAATTTTTAAATAATACAATTTTAATCACTATCAATAATATTTATCTATCTAAAATATTATTCATTCTCTTATTATCCAATAATTTTAAAATAATTATCATTATTCACAATATATCTATAGGTATTTTACAAGAACAAATAAAAATATTTTTTAAATCTGAAAAGATAGTAAAAAGTAATCAATTAATAATTATAATTAATTATCTAATATAATCAAAAAAATAAGCACAAAATGCTATAAATAAATAATTCATATTTTTAAAAGACATAACAAAAACTCAATCATCCACAAATATTCTTTTAAAACAAAAAACTATACCAATTTAATCTAAAATTAAAAGACTTTAAAATAATATACAAACTCAAAATTAAAAATAATTACTAAAATGACATCATTTAATTAAATAATTTGCTAAAATTAACTTGCTGAAATTAAATTGAAATTATTTTCTAAAATTATTTGAATTTTACAAATCAAAATGAGCATTTCTAAATGATTTTTAAACTGAATTATTTGCTAAAATAGCATTTTTTTCAAAAATAATTTAGGAAACCATCTTTACTCAAAATAAAATAAATTATATTATAAATACAGATATAGAAGATTTTTAATACAAAAATACTTTACTTCAAAATAAAATCTAATTAATAAAATTAACAAACTAAAAAAAATACATATTCTCTTAGACAAAAATTACAAAAACTTAACAACAAAATAAATAGAATTAATATTAAATTTGATATTATTATTTCAAAAACTGAAAACAAATTAATAGTATATATATTAATAATTCTCATTTTCTTTTAAGAATTTATATTTTTATTATTCAAAGAACTCATTCTTCTTAAATAAAATTCATATATATTACATACTTAACTAAAAGAAAAAGAAAAACTAATATATAATATTCAACAAATCAATAATAATTTTAAAGATCAAATTAACAAATTAATAATAAAAACTAGTTAATAGAATTAATTAAATAAAAAACTTTATTAATAATACAAAACAATAATTTTATTATATATAATTAAATTATTGGTACTAACACACAAATTTATCAATAATATATTAATTTATTAGAAATTATATTACAATTTATATTTAATAATTTTATTATCATTAACTTGCACAATCATAACTCAGTACTTTATATTAGTATTATCAATATCTGAGAATTATGCTTATTAAATAAATTCCAAGATATACTAAAGTATTTTCACAAAATACATATCAATATTCTAGCAATAACAAAAACTTAATTTATTAATAATATTGTAAAATATACTTTCAAAAACATTTAAGTAACTTATCTTTGAACTTGTAATAAGTCATTCAAAATAATATATATTTTATATAGTTTTGTAATATCTTTTTTGAGTTTATTTAATATTTTTTACAAAAAGAATAACAAATTTTGAAGTTTATAAAGCTAATTTTAAAAATTAGAATTTTGTATAATTAATATAATATATATAGAAATATTTTGTTTGTATTAATATTTTTTAATATAAATTATTATTATAAAAATCTGCTTCAAGAAATACTAACTATTTAATACTTATATATAGAAACTTTATAGTTAATATTTAAATATATAAAATTTTATTATAATTATTAAATATATACAATTACAAATTTGTTGACTAATTATTAAATTAGCTTACAAACTTGAATCTGAATTAGAAAAAAATTAAATAAATAAATTAAATATTAAAAAAAAGAAATATCTAAGTTTTATATAAATTTTTATAAAAATCATAATAATTCAAAAATATAATAAAAATATAGAAAATTTATAGAAAAGTAAAGATTAAAAAAAAGAAAAAAGTAAAAATAGTAAAATAATAAATAATAAAGAGAATTTAATATACTAATTTTTTGTACTTGTGTAAAACTTTCCAGAACTAAGATAATATAATTAGTAATAACAAAACAACAAAGATTCTTTTACTTGTTTTTTTTTACAAGTGAGAAATATCAAAATAACAAAAATCAAAATACTTATTTAAAATTCAATAAATCAATAACACCATTTTTTTGGTATAATATAATACAAAATCAATAACATTTTGTTTGGTACAATATGATTCAAAGATAATAATCCAATAATAGCATTTTTTTAGCACAATATAATTCAAAATCACTTACATACAAGAAGATTTTTGTTAAAAGAGAATTTTATTTTTCATTTGTAATATGTTAAGATAGTAATCTGTGTTCAACAGTCTATCCTATTTGTTAGCACACAATATGTGCATGTGTAACTATTGAAAATTTTGATTATCACATTAGTTAAAATTACGATAAAAAGATAATAAATTAAACACATTACTATCTGGTGTCATTCGTTATTAGTGTTATTAGCAATGGTATTGGTGGCACTGGCAATAATGGTGTCGTTGACAGTGGCGTTAGTGGAGATAATGGTAGTATTGACAGTGTTGGCAAATTCGTTTTTAAATTCAGCAATTTTATCACTTGAACCTTCATTAGATTCCATCACAATTTCATGCTTTTCAATACAGCTCCACGCTTTTTTTAGTACATAAAGCTAATTGTAATATATAATTTGGAGTAGTATTAATAATATTAATAAATAAATTTTCAGAGTTACTAGATAAAAAAATTAAGGATTTTTTTGAATTTGGCTCTTACTAAGTACTCTTAAAGAGTACCTCTCGGAAGCTTACTAAGCAACTCTGTTCAACGATCAAGTCTCTGGCCCTACCCGGAGTCTTTTGACGAGATAGTTCTTTCGGGTGTGGTCTACCGGAGTCTCTTAATGAGATAGTTCTTTCGACAACCAGTATCGGATCCTCTACTAAGAACCGTTCAATACCCAATTCTAAATGTTTACAGTAAAAGGGAATTAAATATATTGTTTTAAAAGAATAACCACTTACTTTAAAATGGTGAATTTTTTATCAGACCTGTAAACAACGAGATTTAGAATCATTTCTTATGATCTGTAAGAAATAAATCGTATCGTGGCACTTAATTCTTTTCTCGCTTGTAAAATTCTTGCGAAGACTGACATGTGTGCAAGCTAATCAAATTTGGCGAAATGATAATTGCGTTACATGAACATGTACAGTCGCCACAGAAAGTAACGCCCGATTTGGATGTGCAACATCAACATAAATTTAAATGTGGCGGTTTTC